GAATACATCCTCATTCATATCAACGAAATGAATATCACCAAGTCTTCATTACACAGGGTAAAAGAAAACGATATGGCTGCAGGCGACGAGATAGAAGTCAAACAACGAATGGAATACAAGAAGAACAACTATTACGTCTTCATTTTACCCAGTAAGCTAGCTAATGGCAAGTATGCCGTAAAGATGAGCTACAAAGCGTTCCTAACAACAACTTTGAATGGGTTGTACCTTAGTACATACATGGACTCTAAACTTGGAAAGAGGTATGACAATCGTAGTGAGACAAAGGTTAAACGTCCCCATGTTATTGGTCAACCAGATATCCCAGTRTTTAATCCTATTAGATTTTAATGTGTTATAAACACTTCAATGTATCAGGGCGGCAATTTAATGGGTGTATTTTTGATACTCTCTGCAAATATCGTCTATCAGAGGCAATACATTTCTGGCTTTGCACTCATGCCKTGCGGACTTATCTCACAATCACGAACACCTTGTAATGGTCGGACTGAGGAGGGATCTTTGATTAAAACATAGTTAATACACCGACATAATGGCCGACACTAATTAGCATATATAACAGGAAATTAGCCACGACAAAGTTTSAACCTACAGACGCGCGTAAAGCTTTGCCTTGTTTTGACGAACCTGCAATGAAAGCAACCTTTACAACAACGATCGTCCATGAAAAAAACTATACTGCACTCTCGAATATGCCGGAGAAGAAGAAAGAAACTTTGCCCAGTGGCTTGATTCGTACAAGGTAATTTTTACAGGGATCAATATCTTTTAGACTGATCCATCATGTCGTCCCTACATAGCACCCCATACTAAAGCTTACCGATGATTTTTGTTCAGGTTTCAAAAATCAGTGCCAATGTCCACCTACTTGTTGGCTTTTATTGTATGCGACTTTGCTCACAAGTCAAACTTAACTGGAATACACGGCAACATCACGGTAAGCTCTGCAAGACACGTGCTGCTGCAGAAATTATTGTCTGCCGGAAACGAACTGTCAGAGTTCTTATGTATTCATGATTTTTGTTGCTGTTGTTGTTAGGCATTGATGAGTCAGTTGTAGTTGTTGTTGTGACTAGTGGTGGCAGTGTTATAGTCGTGGATAATTCTGTGTTGTCGTTGTAGTTGTGATAATTCTGTGTTGTCGTTGTTGTAGGTTCGCGTCTGGACAACACGTGATCAAATCAATCAAGCAGAGTTTGCACTATCAGTGGCATCCCAGATTATAACATACTTCGAGCGTTATTACAAAGTAGACTATCCACTACCTAAACAAGGTCAGTAGCAACAAAAGCATACATATTACGTTATTAGAATCTAAATTGATTCCTTGTGAAACAACTCTTGTCTAGACCTAATCGCCATTCCCGACTTCTCGTCCGGTGCTATGGAGAACTGGGGACTAATTACATTCAGAGAGACCAGGTTATTATATCAACCTGGGGTTTCATCAGAAAGTAATAAACAAAGTGTTGCCACGGTTATATCACATGAGTTAGCACATCAGGTTAGTCGAAAATGTCACATCTTTTGTAACCAATCAGTTTGCATGATAACAAATCGTTTATTTGCAAATAAGCTAGGCAACAATACATTGATCAAGTCACTATGACAACGGCGTAGTTACATGACATGGATTGCTAAGCAACGCTGTACTCT